CACACAGCACAGCACAGCACAGCACACAGCACAGCACACAGCACAGCACAGCACACAGCACACCACACAGCACAGCACAGCACAGCACACCACACAGCACAGCACACCACACCACACCCCACAGCGCACCACACCCCACCCCACAGCGCACGCCTGGCTCTTAGGACGCTGAGACCGACGGTCGCCTTCCTCACAAAGCTTGTACATGTGTGTTAATGTGTGCATTCACACATGGTTACACGTTTCTTCATGTGATTGTAAAAACATACTTACTGGCGGACATATGGACCTGGTTTGTGTGGGCCTGAGGCTGGGTGTCCATGCTATTTGAGTGTTCTGTGTGTAGTCTGTGTTTTGTGGGTTCTGGGTCCTGCATTTACAGACACATTCTTTTGTGTGATGTATCTACCTCTCCCGTAACTTCAACCGCAGCTTCTCAGAACTTAGTGGGAGTGGGCATCAGAGGCCTGAGTAGTGAGGGAGAGGCAAAGTGACTGGGTTCAGAGTGGGAATTTTGCACTGCATCAAGCCTGAACCCTCTGCCTCCTCTTGTAGGTACCACATTGGCCCCATTGCTGCCTGAGGCCCTAACACACTGTACCCAGACACCGTATGGCTGCTGTCAGGATAATGTCACTGCGGCCCGGGGCGTGGGCCTGGCTGGTTGCCCCGGTGAGTATTCAAGCCCAGCTTTGACCTTGACCCGGTGGCGCTGCGCAGCGCCACGGACCGGTGCCCCTTCCCTTCACAGGGACTTGTCGGTGCAACCCGCATGGCTCCTACGGGGCCACCTGTGACCCGGCCTCCGGCCAGTGCTCCTGCCGGCCAGGTGTGGGTGGCCTCAGATGCGACCGATGTGAGCCCGGCTTCTGGAACTTCCGTGGCATTGTCACCAATGGCCAAAGCGGCTGTACTCGTGAGTGACTTTCCACGCGCTTTCGTTGCTGTGCTTGGGCCCTGGCCTGACCTCTGGCAGGGCTCCCTGGCAGCTGGGGAAGCCTGTTTAGGCTCGGGCTTCAGCGTCGTCCCTCCTTCCAGCCTGCAGCTGTGACCCTTGGGGTGCAGTGCGGGATGACTGTGAGCAGATGACCGGACTGTGCTCCTGTAGGCCTGGTGTGGCCGGTCCCAAGTGCGGGCAGTGTCCAGATGGTCACGTCCTGGGCCCCACCGGCTGTGAGGCAGGTGAGGTCAGGGCCAGGGCTGAGCTCTGTCCTGGAGGGTGTGGGCCGCGCTAGTAGTGCTCTCCTGTGTCTACCCCAGATTCCCGGGCACCCGAGACCTGTGTGGAGATGCGCTGTGAGTTTGGCGCCTCCTGTGTGGAGGAGGGCGGCTCTGCTCACTGTGTCTGCCCCGTCCTCGCTTGCCTGGAGGCCAGTGCCACCAAGGTGAGAGGTGGGGAATGTGGAGGGCGGTGGGTGGGAGAGGGCGGTCCTGCACGAGCATCTCTGTCCTGTGCCCCAGGTCTGCGGGTCAGACGGTGTCACCTACGGCAATGAGTGCCAGCTGAAGACCATCGCCTGCCGCCAGAGGCTGAACATCTCCACCCAGAGCCTGGGCCCGTGTCAGGGTGAGGCCCGGGAGCCACCGCCCGGGGCTGACCGGGGAGGAGAGGCCCTGCCCTGACTCCGGCCTGCCCACCCCGTCTCCCTGCAGAGGCCGTTCCTGTGGCTTACCCCACCAGCCCAGGGCACGTCTCGAGCGAGGCCTCGCCACCTTCGCCCGGCACCCTCCCGCTGGCTCCCAGTAGCAGCCCCCGGGCCTGGACCACCCCTGCGGCGTCATCGCCCCCACAGACCACAGCCAGCCTCCCCAGGACCACTGTGTGGCCCATGCGGACCCTGCCACCCACAGCACCCTCCACCGTGTCCAGTCTCGCCCTGTCTGCCTTCGGTGAATCCGGCAGTGCCGACGGCAGTGGTGATGAGGAGCTGAGTGGGGACCAGGAGGCCAGTGGGGGAGGCTCTGGGGGTAAGGAGGGGCCTCGGACGTGGGGGTGGGGCTCCTAGGGCCTCCACGCGGGCCAGGCTCAGACGGTGTACCTCCCCAGGCCTCGAGCCTCCCGACAGCAGCCGTGAGGTAACCCACGGGCTGCCCGTCGAAAGGGCTTCCTGCTACAACTCACCTTTGGGCTGCTGCTCGGATGGCCAGACACCCTCCCTGGACGCAGAGGGCTCTAACTGCCCGGGTAAGTGGGTGACATGGGCAGGGCGAGCGTGAGAAGCAGCCCGGACGCTCCAGGGCGCTCTCCTCAGCCTTGGCCGCAGGTTGGTACAGAGTCACGGGCCTCAGGCCATGGCACGTGCGTGTGTGGGCGTGGGGGTCCGCACACGCATGCACTCTGTGGTCTCAGCCCTTGAAGCCCATGTGTGCCCTGGACCCCGCACCTAATCCTTCTCTCTCCTTGCAAGCCAGCCTAGGAGTCGCCTGGTAACGGGTGCCAGTCCTGCCCCGGGGTCCCCACTGACTAACCACATGATCATCTGACTAACTTTCCCTGCCCGTGCCCCGTGTTGGCTTGCTGCGGGGCCCAGCCCGTGCCGCCAGGGAGGCTGGGCCGTAGCAGGTGCTCACTGCCCCTTCTCCACAGCTACCAAGGCCTTCCAGGGAGTGCTGGAACTGGAGGGGGTCGAGGGGCAGGAGCTGTTCTACACGCCTGAGATGGCTGACCCCAAGTCAGAGCTGTTTGGGGAGACTGCCAGGAGCATTGAGAGCGCGGTATGGCACGGCGGTGGGGAGCCCTCCCCGGAAGCCCCGGAGGGTCACCCAGGGGACCGACAGCTCCAGCAGCGTCTGCACATGCCCCATGTTCTCGCCCACTCTGCAGCTGGACGACCTGTTCCGGAACTCAGATGTAAAGAAGGACTACCGAAGTGTCCGCCTGAGGGACCTGGGGCCTGGCAGATCGGTGCGCGCCATGGTGGATGTGCACTTTGACCCCAGTGAGAGCCCTTCCCAGGGGTGGTGGGTGGGAGCCGCATGGCAGCAGACCATGTTCAGCACCCACCTTCCCTCAGCCACAGCCTATCAGGCGCCCGATGTGGGCCGGGCCTTGCTCCGACAGATCCAGGCGTCCAGACGCCGGGCCCTGGTGGTGAGGAAGCCTCTTCAGGAACACGTGCGGTTCATGGACTTCGGTGAGTGTCAGGCCGGGCTGTGTCTTGCCGGGTCCCTTTCCCTTCCCCCGCCCCCCACCGTGCCTGCCCTGGTCCTCGGGGGACCTGAAAGCTCCCTCACCCCACAGACTGGTTTCCGGCGTTCGTCACGGGAGCTGCAACAGGAGCCACAGCCAGAGCAGCTACTGTGGGCCGACTGCCCTCCTCGGCCGTGACCCCGGTGGGCCGACTGCCCTCCTCGGCCGTGACCCCACGTGCCTACCCCACTCACACTAGCTGGCCCATCGGCAGGACCCCAGCGCCCCCTGCCACTCGACGGCCACCCACCACTGCCCCCAGCCGTGGCCGGACTCTGCCTCTGGGTCCCCATCAGCTGTCCCTTCCCTGTGATTCCCAGCCCTGCCTGTATGGGGGGACCTGCCAGGACCAGGACTCTGGCAAGGGCTTTGCCTGCAGCTGCCCTGCCGGCAGAGGAGGCGCCGTCTGTGAGGAGGGTAAGGGTCATCCGCGAGGGCGAGGCCTGGGTGGGCAGGCAGGGCCGGCTCACCCAGGGCACTCCTCTGGCTGGTTCTGCCCCGCAGCGCTCCGCTCCTCCGTGCCAGCCTTTGGGGGCCACTCCTTTCTTGCCTTCCCTACCCTGCGTGCCTACCACACCCTGCGCCTGTCGCTGGAATTCCGGGCTTTGGAGCCTCAGGGACTTCTGCTCTACAATGGCAATGCACGCGGCAAGGACTTCCTGGCACTGGCACTGCTGGGTGGGCATGTGCAGTTCAGGTGGGCAGAAGGGGCGAGGCGTCTGAATGGTAGCAGGCCAGGCCTGGGCCTTATGAAAATAGAAGGCCTATCTATCCTGGGGCTTAGGGGGATGGGATGGGCCAGGCTAGCGATGGCTCCAGACAAGCATTCTGAACATCTGCTCTTTTTTTTTTTTTTTTTTTTGGTGGGTTGAGGGGCTTGAACTCTGGGCCTGGGCGCTGTCCCTGAGCTCTTCAGCTCAAGATGAGCACTCTACCACTTGAGCCACAGGGCCACTTCCAGTTTTCAGGTGGTTCATTGGAGATAAGAGTCTCACAGAGTTTCCTGCCTGGGCTGGCTTTGAACCAAAATCCTCGGATCTCAGCCTCCTGAGTAGCTAGGATGACGGGTGTGAGCCACCGGCGCCCAGCCGAACACCTACTCTTGTCCCTAGGTTTGATACAGGTTCAGGGCCAGCAGTGCTGACCAGCTTGGTGCCGGTGGAGCCCGGGCAGTGGCACCGACTGGAACTGTCACGACATTGGCGCCAGGGCACGCTCTCCGTGGATGGCGAGACCCCAGTGGTGGGTGAGAGTCCCAGTGGCACCGATGGCCTCAACCTGGACACGGACCTCTTTGTGGGCGGCATCCCAGAGGACCAGGCTGCCGTGTGAGCGGAAGTTGGGTGGTCCACCGTGAAAGCGAGCCCAGTCCCTGACTTTGCTGTGGGGTGGAGGGACAGCAGTGGCTGTAGCCTTGACCTCAACCCAGTCCCTGACCTTCCACTGGTCCCTGACCCTCGGGTATAGCATGCTTTTGGTGGGGGTCTCTGAAGAGGGGCTAGGCTGGCTCTGACCTTCAGTTCCAACCCTTGGCTTCAGCCCTGTCTGTAAGACTGACAACCCTGAGAGCATGAGGGGTGGGAGTGGTGACCGCAGGGGCTAGAACGGCGGCTGGCTGACTTGCTACCTCCCTACACAGGGTGCTTGAGAGGACCTCGGTTGGTGTTGGCCTGAGGGGCTGCATCCGCCTGCTGGACGTTAACAACCAGCAGCTGGAGCTCGGCAGCTGGCGGGGGGCGGCCCGAGGCTCTGGCGTGGGCGAGTGTGGCGACCAAGCCTGTGTGCCGAGCCCCTGCCACGGTGGGGCTCCGTGCCGGGAGCTGGGAGCTGGCGTGTTCCACTGCCAGTGCCCGCCTGGCCGCTTCGGTGAGGCCCCGGACGCTCGCGGGAAGGCAGGCGTTGTGGGTGGGGCTCACGCCTCTCGAGACCCTCATCCAATCTCCTTTTAGGTCCCACGTGTGCAGATGAAGAGAGCCCCTGCCAGCCAAACCCCTGCCCGGGGGCAGCGCCCTGCCACGTCCTGCCCAGGGGTGGGGCCGAGTGCGAGTGTCCCCCGGGACGTGAGGGGGCCCTCTGCCAGACAGGTGGGGGCAGGGGCTGTTGTGGAGAGGAGGAGGGTCAGAGTCAGGTGCTTGGGTTGAGCTGTCCAGTTTGGGGTGGGATTCAAGCTAGTGCTAGGGTTGAATTCAGGTAGATGTGGGGCTGTGGCAGTGCGGCAGACCCGGGGGTGGGCCTAGAGTCTTGTCTGACCCCTGTCCTGTCCTCCACAGTCTCAGAGAGGGGTTCCAGCTCTCGACCCTTCCTGGCTGACTTCAGTGGCTTCTCCTACCTGGAACTGAAAGGCTTGCACACCTTTGAAAGAGACCTGGGGTCAGTAGGGCAGGAGGGGTGTGGGAAAGAAGTTGCTCCACAGAGCATGGGGTGGTGCACACAGCTACAACCTCGCGTGGCCGCAGGGAGAAGATGGAGCTGGAGCTGGTGTTCCTGGCCCGTGACCCCAACGGCCTGCTCCTCTACAATGGGCAGAAGACCGATGGCAAGGGGGACTTTGTGTCCCTGGCACTGCGCGATGGGCGTCTGGAGTTCCGCTATGATCTGGGCAAGGGGGCTGCAGTCATCAGGTGGGCAAGCAGGCGTGGGCCCTGGCTGGCGATGCCTAGGACTTGGTTCTGGACCTCTTCCCAGACGGACCACAGGGAGGGGTGGGGGTGAGGTGGTGGACCCGTCCAGAGCCCACTCATGGCCCCTCCTCGCAGGAGCAAGGAACCCATAGCCCTGGGTGCCTGGACCAGGGTCTCCGTGGAGCGAAGTGGCCGCAAGGGCGCCCTCCGTGTGGGCGACGGGCCCCGCGTACTGGGGGAGTCGCCAGTGAGTACCCCAGGCCTGCCGCCTGCCCGCCCTCCCGCCTGCTCCTGTGCCCCTCCTCCCCAGGGGCTTGGCAGCCCCTCACGATCACCTCTTACAAAACTGTTTTCTCTCGTCTGTCCTGTGCCTGGTCTGTCTCCTCTCTGCCCCCCACTGCTCTCTGGCTCTTGCTCTGCAACCCCCCACCCGCTCTCCGGATGTCAGAAATCCCGCAAGGTACTGTCTGCCCCCGCAGCGCACCGTCTCCGAGGCCCACCCCTAGAGTAGCTCCTTCCCACTAAGGCCCGCGTCTTCCATTTCTGTGTGACTAACTCTGCCTCCTAGGGAGTGGGGCTAGGCGGGGGCCATCAGTCGCGAGCACTCTGGTCTGGCCCGTTCCTTCGGCCCCTCACCCTCCCCTCCGGCAGGTGCCGCACACCATGCTGAACCTGAAGGAGCCGCTCTATGTGGGCGGCGCTCCGGACTTCAGCAAGCTGGCTCGGGCCGCCGCGGTGTCGTCTGGCTTTAACGGTGCCATCCAGCTGGTAGGAGGGGCTGGTGGGGCCGGCCAGGCCTCTCCAGGTGGAGGAAGGGCTGTGGTGGGTGGGACTCTGCTCCAAGCAAGGGCTGTCTGGACAGGGAGGCTGACCTCATGCATCCTCTCCCCTGCAGCTCTCCCTCAAAGGCCAGCAGCTGCTGACCCAGGAGCACATGCTGCGGGCGGTGGATGTCTCATCCTTTGCAGATCACCCTTGTACCCAAGCCTCAGGGCACCCCTGCCTCCACGGGGCCTCGTGTCTCCCAAAGGGGGCCGACTATGAATGCCTGTGTCCTGGGGGCTTCTCAGGGCGGCGCTGCGAGAAGGGTGAGTGAGGTGCTACGGGCTGGGGCTAGTGCGGCCTGGAAAAACCACCCCTGGGCCCACCTCATTCCACCTGTCTCCCAGGACTGGTTGAAAAATCGGCAGGGGACCTGGAGACACTGGCCTTTGATGGACAGACCTACATTGAGTACCTCAATGCAGTGACCGAGAGGTAACCTCCTGCCGGGGGCCAGACACCCACGACTGTCCGGTCTTGTCTGGGCACACCGTGCAAGGTGGATGCCCAACCCTCCTCAGCCCACCCCCCAACTCTGTGGCCAGGAAGACAGGCCCAGTGTCCCTTTCGGTTCTAGACCCTCTTCTCATATTTGTCTCTTTGTTCCCAAGTGAGCTGACCAATGAGATCCCTGCGTAAGTACCCTTTGGCTCCTCCTGCACCGGGCCATTCTCTGCACACAGCCATCTTCATAGCCCTCTGTGCTCCACTGTGGGTTCCGCCCTTGGTAGAAGGGATAAGGCCAGGACCGCTTGCGCTGTGCAAGCTTCCTACCCTGGAGATGGGGATTGCCCTCCCCAGGAAACCAGCCGTCCCTTCACCACCCCAGCAGCCATTCCCAAACCACTGAGGCCCCAGTCCAATTGTGTACTACGACTGTGTGCGCACACTCAAGTACACCTGTTGTTCTGTGTGTACGTGCATGTGTCTGTTAGAGTTGTGTGTGCACACGTGTTTGTAGGCAGCAGGCTTCATGTGTGCTAGGAGAGCACGCCACCACTGAGCGACGTCCAGCCCCGTTTCTGGATATTCTGAGGCCCTTGGTGCCCCTCCCCCAGACTCACCCCAAGCACTCACCAAGCCGCAGGGTCCCGTCCGTGTAGTTTGTATGAATGTGTGTATGTATGTATGCAAGCACGTGTCCACATGCACGGCCACGCATACGTGTGCACCCACATGTGTCTGCTCCTGAGAGTGCAGGGCTGTTCCCAGAAGGTGAACCCTCACCTCCACCCACTCCATGTGACTCAAGCCGCCCTCACCTCCACTCCACTCCATGTGACTCAAGCCGCCCTTCTTGACTCCGGCCCTTCGCTGTGTCCTCACACTGGTGTTGCATGTGTGTTGCCGCTCAGACCTCGATGGGAAGGGTCACTAATGTCCTGGGGTCATGCTTGCTTCTCCTACCACCCATGTTGACAAGGGAACTTGAGCCTGCATCTCAACCTTTTTCCTCTGCTTACTGCTGCCCTTTCTTCCTGCTTCTAAGCCCTGAAACTCTGGATTCTGGGGCCCATCACAGGTGAGCATATGGCAGTGCTTGAGAGACCCCGGGCTGGCTGAGGCCCTCTGTGTGCTGCCGTGTCTGATCATCTGTGCTCTCCCTCTGTCAGTCCTGTCTCTCACAGTTGGCGTTGCCCCGACCAATCCCCCTGGCCCCAGGCCCTGCCCCCGTTTTCTGTGGCCTCTGGTCACGGTGTGTGCTGCCTGCCCCCGCCCCAGGCCCTGACGCTCCCCCTTCACCCTCCAGCAGAAAGGCGCTCCAGAGCAACCACTTTGAGCTGAGCCTGCGCACCGAGGCCACTCAGGGGCTAGTCCTGTGGAGCGGCAAGGTCACGGGGCCTTCGGACTATGTGGCCCTGGCCATTGTGGATGGACGCCTGCAGTTGAGCTACGACCTGGGCTCCCAACCTGTGGTGCTGCGCTCCACCGTGAGGGTCAACACCAACCGCTGGCTGCGGGTCAGGGCTCACAGGTCCGTGGGTGCCCTGAAGATAGTAACAATGCTCATGGCCTCCCCCAGGCCTGCGGCTGGGGAGGGAGGAGATGCAGGAGAAACAGCTGCAGCTGGCAGTCTCATTCCACATCCTTGCCCCAGGAGCGATGCCTGGCGTGGTCCCTACTGAGGCCTGAGTGGAGGGGAGGGGGCCTTGGGGTCTGGAGGGGGCCCGCAAGAGCCCGGAGGTGGGGCTCAGGCTCAGGAACTGGAGGAGGCCTGACTGACAGTCGTGCCCCCCCCCCATGTCCTTAGGGAACAGAGGGAAGGCTCCCTTCAGGTGGGCAACGAGGCCCCGGTGACGGGCTCCTCCCCTCTGGGAGCCACACAGCTGGATACCGACGGGACCCTGTGGCTTGGTGAGTGCTGGGTGGCCTGGGGGAGGACACCCAGGGCCTCAGGATATCTAGGAACCGGGCTGGAAAGGGGGCTCAGGGGGAGAGTGCTCCCCTAGCACCCATGAAGCCCAGGACCACATATACAGAAAACGCCAGAGGTGCTGCTGTGGCTCAAGTGGCAGAGTGCTGGCCCACCCACCCCCTGGGGCTAGATCTTAACTGACCCCTTAAAACAGCAGATGGGTTTCCAGAGCAGGGCTCGGTCCCATCCGTGCTTACCCTGCGGTGGTCAGGCTACCGGGCCCAAGAATGGAACACATACATGGGCGACACCTGGGTGGGTGCCAGAGCCCCTCCACCCGCCGCGGTGCTGTCACTCACGGCGACCTTGCTAACTGTCCCGCAGGAGGCGTGCAGAAGCTGCCTGTGGGCCAGACCCTGCCCAAGGCCTACAGCACAGGCTTCGTGGGCTGCCTGCGGGATGTCGTGGTGGGCCTGCGCCCGCTTCATCTGCTGGAAGATGCGGTCACCAAGCCAGAACTTCAGCCCTGCGCTGCCCCCTGACCCGGCACTGGAGCGCCCCCCTCCCTGCTGTAATTATTTTCTATTTTTGTAAACTTGTTGCTTTTTGATATGATTTTCTTGCCTGTGTGTTGGCCAGAGAGACTGTTGGCCAGCCTCCCTTCCGTCCAGGCAGCTACGCTGTGGAGACAAACCAGTGCCAAGAGACTCGAAGGGGCAACGTGGCAGCCGGAGCACGGGGCTCAGAGGCCGCCTCGGGTCGCACTGTGCATCTGTGCCTGTCCACCTGTGCTGGTCCCTACTGTCCCCTGCTCCCCCACGCCACCCCCACTGCATCGGACGAGAGCTATGTACCAGAGCAGGAGGAGATGGCCCTTCTTGGTTGCAATGTGAACTGCTTCTTTCTTCCTGTGTGTGCTTTGGGCTAGCCTTACCCCAGACTAGCCTGGACTCCAAGGCCATGTGCCAGTACTGTGACTTAGCAACAATGTTAGCTTTGGAGCTATCCTCCGCCTCCACTGAATGTCCACCAGTTCTAGGGCACTGAAGGTAGAAGCCAGACCCCAACTCGTCTAAGGTGCCCTGACTGGCCCTCAGCTGGCCTCGCCCATTAACCCCCACCCTGGAAGAGACTGTCTCCACCACCGGCTCCACGCCCCCTGAGGAGCTCCAGAGGGCAAGTGGGCCAGTATGTGTGAATGGTTTACCTCCATTGCCCCACTGCATGGAAAGCCAGCAGCAACTTCTCAAGAATGGCTATCCAGGCCTGAGCGCCAAATACGTTCTTCATGGTTTACTTGATCTGCCTGGAACGGCAGAGCCGCCAGGGCCTCCTCTGAGAAAGACTGGGATCCGCTCGATCGTGACCAAGGTCAAAGGGCAGAGTGCTAGCCATGCCTTAAACCCATAACACCTGTGCCCTCGCTGCCTGCCCGAATGCCTCGTCATCCTGGGAGCAAGACCAGATACAGTGGGGGGTGCAGCCCCCTCCCAACGCGGGGAGGGGGGGCTTGGAGGGAGTTGCATGGTGTTTCATCACTAACTTCAGTATGTCTGTATCGAACACCATGAAATAAATCTGAAAACTTCACAAGAGAGGCTGTTCTTTCCAGCTGCCCGCTGAGCTTCATGGGGCCTCATTTTTGCTGGGGGTGGAGGGCTGGAGCCCCGAGTGGTGTGCATGGGGGGGGGTATCCTGCCTCTGGAGTGGTGT